TTTATTAGATCTATAAAAAATTTCATTTAGAGAGCATGTACCTAGTTCGATTAAAGTCTGTCTTAATTAAATTATTTCGTTTCATAATTCAGTCTAAATAGTCAATCTTTGTACATTTCTGTTTGCTTACTTAATAACATGATTACTTTATTCCTAATTCAGATTGTCTATTTCACTATTTCCTTTTTGCTTTCCCATAAAAATCTTTGTATCAGCATTATACAACATATCGATAGAAATATTATTGTATTTAAATTGAATATCAATGTACACGGTAGAAGGCGAATCTACAATGTAGGACGGTGCAACTTATTACTTCAAATGTCAATAAACATCAAGCATTCATTGATCTTATTCACACCGTACCCTTTTAAAAGGCACATGTATTTTCGTACTATGCAAAGTATTGCTTTTAAATGGAACATTCAATTTAAGAAAAATTTTATTCTACCATTGAACTTTTCGTCGAGTAAAGCTTCTGTCCTATAACACGAATCTGTATGTGTTTAAAACAAGGTACGTAAACTATCTACAATATGTAACTCATGTACGTCTTCATGGCAACGAAATGTTTTTTCATTGAAAGTACTTGATAATCGGGACTTAGAATTATGTTACTGTTGTTTGCAACCATCTTTCACTCGACGCTTATGTTTCTCTGCGTGAGTTAGCGATGAAGATTGCATTTGATTTCTTCGTTGTCCTTGTATAGGCATATAACACGGAGCATCATCGTTCATAAGTTCCTGTGGAGGTGTGGGTAATGCGTACGTAGGGCTTACTGTATTACTTGAACTACTGGAAGTATGTCGATGCACATTTCCATTATAAGTAGGATCAATAATTGCTGCTACATTTGGTACTTCTCGAATACTTTCAATAGGATCATCTAATGTTTGTATTTCTTCCAGGTCTTGGTATTGTGGACAATTTAAATTAGGCTGCATTCTACTTTTAGTCGATGTACTCTTCAAATCTAATTTATCTGGCCTCTGAGGCTTTTCAGCAACATTCTGATCTTCCAGTTCTTTTTGAAGCTGTTTTTCTAGCTTTCTCTGTCTTGCCCTTTGCCTGGCCTTTCTAACTTTAGCACGTTCTTTTTGTTGCAACATTCGTGCCAGTTCAGCATCCTGAGCCTCCATTGCAATTTTTTGATCCAACAAAAATTGTTCATCGAACGATCCATCTGGATTGTCTATAGCATTTTCCTCTTCCTCCTGTTGTAATTTCCTTGCCAGTTCCTTTAATTAATATATATGTTGTTAATACAATATTATCATCAATACTTCTTTTCCAATGCAAGTATTATGTAAGTACCTCATCTTTTTCTTCTTGAATATATTTCTCAAGTTCCAGTTGGGTTACTTCATCATCTAATCTCAACTGCAACCTCATTTGTTCTTGTAATTCTCGTTCCTTTTGTCTTTCTTCTCGCTCTAAGGATAATGCAACCTGCCTTGCTACTAAGGCATCTCTCTCTTCCCTGAAAAATCGTACACTTAGATGTAGCCTTTCATTAATACAGTACATTACGCGTTCAAAAATGAAATACAAACTGTTGCTGAACGTAGCTCTGATACTTCAATGTTTCTAACTCCTGTTCAACTTTAGCTTTCGGTACGTCCTCCCTCACCTGTGCGTTTCGCACTTTGTTGCCAGTGTAGTGTTCCCTAACTACAAGAAACAGTATGGTAAGATTAATTCGCTAGAATGAAACTGTTTCAACATTCTCTTTAACACCTACTTTCTTCATCCTGCAATCTGTAAGCGAGAGCTCCATCCTCGTGGACCAACCACTCCCGACAAACTACGGTAACAAGCAAACAGAATCACATTGTGCATACCGATCTAATGAGTAACGATAATCAGGAATGACAGCAGACATCCGAGAATACCCGACATACCTTCGTTTACTCGACCTGCTTTAGGAAGAGTGTCCGAACCCAGCACGGATTTTGCCATTTCGTTTTCAGCTGTCTTTCCCTTCCGTCAAAGGAGATCCTCCGGTCGTCCAACTTTCTTGTTTACAACCACCTTACGGGACACATACGTCGTTTTCTCTCCATCTTGAACAGCAGTGAATAGACGTTGCATGTGTGTTGGTCCTATTCTTCCCGAAGGTGTGCATTTCTCCTATCGTGGTGTGCGTACAAACATTCCCAGCGAGCATTACGTATGATGAAGCCAGGCCTGTGTCGGTGCACACAGTCACAGGATCTTTCATGCGAGGTTTCTCTGAATAGCGATGGGTACGACCTACTCGCGAACAAGAAACCCGATAAAAACACAACTACCGTTTACATCACGACAATCCACTCTCCCATTGTACCAATACATTCCCTAATCAATAAATTTACAAAATTAAACAAACACCTACTAACCCCTACTGAACTCCACCACAACATTAACAAATTACCACATTATCCAATGCTACATTATACAACAACAAACAAATAAATCCTATTCCTCTCAATACCAAACGAACTCCGACATAACGTTCGTTGATCACATTACTCACAAACCACTCGTTTATATCTAACGCTATCTCTGCTCAATGTGTAGCATAGTAGTAGTTATTCTAGTAAAGGTAGTACGTCTCATAGTAAGGAGAGCGTACTCACGCCGAACGTTGGCTAAGTGGATAGTAGAGTTTCTTTCGGTAATGCTGCTCGTTGCATTCAATGCATCCTCCGCCCCAAGAAATTACAACAAATAATATAAATTGCATTTCATTCTTAACCGTCTAACAACATTGAAAAAAAATGAAATTTCGATTAATAAATTTGAATGAATTCAAAATCGTTTTCCCTATTCTTACAATGAGTAAGACAAGGACGGAGCTAATGTGCGAGAAGGATAGAAGATTTTGTTAAAGGCGACACTAGCGCCATCTAGCGGACGGGCGTTTCGAAGCTTTTCCCCATACCCGCAATGTGTAAGACAAGGACGGAGATAGTGTGCGACAAGGACAGAAATAGTCTTTCTTGTGCCACCTCCTTCGAAAAAGCATCTCATCAGTCCCTGGTACGTACGCGCGAAGCATCAGGACCGAGGAGGTCGCAGGGATAGCAATCTAGGTAGCGCCATCTAGTGGTGGAGGCTGTGAACTAAACGCGACGCGTCGATGGGGAAAACAACAGCGAATTCATTAATAACTCGACTTACACGAATCATTCGTCAACATTTGGAATTTAGGATCATAGAATGGACCCTCCCCTACTTTCTCATATCGCTTCGGATAGGATTTTCTTCCGCGTTGATTATTTATTAATTATTCTTCGGGACGATGTCGCGAGGTAACTTAGAAGTTCGTGACACGTGCCGAGTGGATTTTTGAGTTTCTCGGTTAATAGGCGTAAGTGGTGAATGTTTGTGATTGGAGAAATTAGAGTGGATATTTGGGAATATTCTGGTGGGATTTTAATGACGTGCGAGTTGTAATTAATGAATTATCAGCGATTTTCGGATGTGTTGGTTGCGTTAGAGAGAAAGTCGATTCGTGCTTGAATGCAATTAATAGTATGTTAACTCGGTTAATTATTCCGGGGAATGGATCTATATTAAAGTAGAGACTGTCAGCTTTAATTTGGTGTGCCGGAAGTTGAGGAATCATTGCTGGTTCCGACAGGAAGTCAGTTAGAAGGAACTAGTCTCATTTCCTATCTTGGGAGTAGTTGCACTTTTTATTAAATAATTAATTACAAGATCATTAGAAAATCCGTTTTGCGCTGGGAATATATTGTCTAGGAACCCCTCTACAGCCCCATGTGTGTAACTTAAAATTTAGGCCTCTGGTTAATGAGTAATTAATTTTTTTCTACATCTCTGAATCTGGTTCTCAATCGCACGTATATGCGTTTTAGTTCCGCCGTTCTACCGCTAGATGGCGATACCATTTCTATGTCCGTGGAAACCATGAATTCCCAAAAACGAATAAAACATCGCAATTATGATTTTTCACTATATTTGTCGGGTGGGCTGTGACATTACGAAGATTTTGAGCCCAAGAACGTTAAATTTGGTGGCCTAGTTTTTGAGATATTTCAATTTTTCTATTTCCGTAGTTCCTTGTTTCCGCCGCTAGATGGCGATACCATTTCTATGGCCGTGGAAAGCATAAATTCAGGAAATATATAAAACATCGCAACTGGGTTTTTTTACTATACATGCTGGGTGCACTGTAATATTCTAAGGATTTTGAGCCCAAGAACGTTAAATTTGGTTGTTTAATTGTTGAGATATTTTAATTTTTCTATTTCCGTAGTTTGTATTTCTGCGGTAGATGGCGCCACTATGCCATTTGACCGCTTCGTTATCTCTGCCGTAGTTGATTTTTAGGTTACAAACTGTGGCTACGTCACTTTTAATCGTCGATACACCGGTGCCACGCGTTTGGTTCGACACAACCTTAAACAATTGTCCAGGAAACATTGTAAAAATGACGGTGTTAACGGTTGTTTGGAAATTCTGGCAGGAATACACGAAAACCACGCCGAAAAAGCTGAAAATTATAGACGCTTATCTGTTCTATGTGTTCCTAACTGGTGTCATACAATTCGTTTACTGTTGCCTTGTTGGAACGTTCCCGTTCAACAGTTTTCTCAGCGGATTTATTTCTTGTGTTTCCTGTTTCGTTCTCGGAGGTATTTTATTAATTATAATTCATACTATCTTTAATAATCTTGTATAAATGTTTGTGTTGATATTGTGGTACTAATTATGTTTGTTTACATTAATTACCTAATTTGCTTTGCTGTCAGTGTCAGTATATGCGGCAATATGTTATGCATTGATTTATTTAATTTTGTAGTAGTCGTTCTTTTGCATATTTTGTAAGATAATGTGGTAGATATCAGTTGTATGAAATGTAGAATATTTTTGTTATTGAATTATTCTTTGATATTTCTGTTGCAGTTTGCTTACGGCTACAAGTGAATCCTCAGAATAAAAGCCAATTTCATGGGATAAGTCCTGAGAGAGGATTTGCAGATTTCATTTTTGCACATATTATTCTTCATATTGTCGTAATGAATTTCATTGGTTAAACTTAGGAAATAAATTTGTGAAACTTTTTAATAAAATACTTGCAATTACTAAAAAGAAAATAACTGGAACTGACTACATTATTAAAAACATTAGATATTAAAAAATGGAAATAATAATTGTAGAAAGAATTGTGCAATAGATTAAAATTTACTTTCGTTACAATGTATTGCTGTTACAGAATTTGTTTGTGTTAAGGTTTACGTATCAGATTAATAAATGGATTCTACATTATTAAATAAAATCTTTATTTAATAATTTGAATAGTATCTATTATACATCTAGATCTACTGTATTTATCTATAAAATATAAAATTAATTTTGGATGATTTAAGGGGGTAAAATAACGACATAGAAATGAATGTCCTATCAGGTCTATTTCTATCTGCATTCATGGTGTTAGAAAAGAAAACCCTCTACCCTCTAGTATATAAATTTTTCGTGATTAAATAAACACCAGTTCGTAGAGGTCATTCGCGTATTGCGCATCGTTGTGAGAGAGTCATTTTATGAATTTATTAGTGTTGATCAGTTTGAATATTCACCCACGTTTTTTTTTGTGTTCTGTGAGTGATGTGGTTTCATTTCAAAGAATGGGAAGAATACTTTGCAGCCATTAGAACACGTGAGTACAATTAATATATTTTATTGGGGACCAATGTTTCATTGATATGTTTATCTACCTTGCAGTATTTATTATCAAAACAAAACCTACAATATTTTAACCTTTATTATCCCAGGTAACAAGCGAACTTACGTAGATAAACACAGGCATGGACAATCCGATTAAAATTATTTAATATTTATTTATTAAATCAACAAATACATTCTGCATGATGGAGCATAAAATTTTATTCAATTGTTTCAGTGGTAACTAAATGCGACTATATTACATTTATTTACATAACATTATAATATATTTATAGATCTAGTATGTTTAACTATGAATAAAAGAAAAATAACATGGAAAGATACAGTAAACTTCTTCCTCGCATAACAGACTAAGAAGTTCTGAACATGTGCTTCAAAGAACTTTTGAAACTTCGAAAGAATACAAAATTATATAATTTATATGAACATAGATTTATATTCTTGATGGTTTTAATTTCTTTAAATAATATTGCACATTACATGTATAGTTTTGTTTGAGATCAAAAAATCAATGGACTGTATATTTATACAGTTTACAAATATGTCAATGTTTCATTTGAATACAATAATGTCTTCCTTTTTTCCTACAAAAACATTAACTACACTTTACATTTTGCATTATGTACACTGATAATGAGTACTGAAATAATACTATTCCATTTTAATTACTTTTCCATTGTTTCTACTATGTGTAAAAAGGTCATACAAAAATTGATTTGTTTATACGTTGTTAATAGTTCCATACTAAATTCATTTTTTTACTTATTCATCACTAAAAGCTTCTTCAAATTGAACTTGATACATTAGACTTAAATTTTTTTCGAATCTAAATGTTAGGATAATTAAAATTCAATATCAAAAGATAGAAAGAAAGACACAAAGGAATGTATAATTTCATAATAGGATTGTAACGTAATTCAAGTATACGGGATAATTATGCATTGACAGAGGAAAAAGCTACTGTTTCATATACATTTCTGTGAGAAGCAGTTTCTAGTACACCTGACCCCTGATTTACATGGTAGCTCTAATACCCGAGTGAATTTAGTAACACTGAATAAAAAAAAAACTTATACCAGTCTTTCTTTTCAATATTTTGTTTTCTCTTGTTGATTTTCATTCCTGTAAAATGAATTCATGTGGAACAGATTTTTGCATAAATCAAGGGTCAGATGTATTTTTATATTAACACTCTGCGATCCACGAGTTCATTGAAGCTGTTGCAGTTTTTTATTTTAGTGTATTGAAATATCTTTTCTATTCTATAGATATTGATATAAAAAAACTCGACAGATCGGAAAGTGTTAATTAATTTGCAATGGAGAAATAATAATATATTGCAATTAATTATTTAAATCAAAGTAACTTAATATATAATACATTATATATCACAAAGATGTTACAGGATATCATTATAATTTTCCAAATTCAAGTAGTGGAGGCTACATGAAAAGAAATACTCCATCGAAAAAATTATTTATTTCACATATTTTAAGTCCTTTTTCTTCACTTGAAACATTGTTGAATATTGAACCTTATTAACATTCAAAATGGAATTGAATATAGTGCTCTTCACAGAAAGGAAAACATTCCTAGGAAAATACTTGCATAAAACTTGTAAAGAAATTGTTGTTGTAACAGTTAAAGAAGCATAGTTTTGTTTGTTGTAATCAGTTAAATAATATTTTATTTGCAAACACATGTGTTCTTAAATATTACTCTCTTTCGAACGTTTTAAATATTTATTTGCAATCACTTAATAGTATCTCTAAAATGAAAACATTAAATATTATAATAAAATTAATAACAAAAATTGTTTTAATCATTAACTATTAAAAACTCTATCTGTTTTTATTTTTTATTTATGTGAAAATGAATGCGTGAAAAGAACATTATCTTCAACAATATATTCCTATTTTTATCAGTCCTCTAATCCACCAATGAGTATATAATCACAACCAGTCAATATTAAATACTAAAATCCTTTCTCTCTATTCTGAAGAAAATCGATTTTCTTAAGAATAGGAAATCGAGATTTCAACAAAAATCTTAAAATTCGGATACCCCTTAAAGTTGACCAGAAAAAACGAAGTAAAAATGTCTAAGTATCTTTGTATTTTGAACTGAAATGACTGACTTTTATAAAATGTTCACCTATAAATCTTTCTCGAATGTATTTACTCCTTTAATGTAACATTAAGAATCCAAGGGAAATATGTTCCAAAAAAAAGAAGAAAAAAATTAATATTTCTCAGAACAGTATATTGCTTAACAATTGTTTTAATAAATAAAGAATAAAAATTATTAAGCCAGTAATACTTTTAAGTTAATTTCCCTTATTACTGCTAAAGAATTAAACAGTTAATACTTTAAGTTCATCGTTCTTATTTTACTTAGAAATAAAACAATTTGCATTCTTAAAGAAAGTAGTTTTCTTAAGAAAAACGAAAGCAGGCGTGTACAATTTCCAGGAAAATATTTCTAAAAATCAAATTACAAAAACTTTTAAATACGGTAAAACTAAGAAAAAAAAGAAAAAGAAAGAAAAGAGAGAAAGGTGGGAATTATTTCGATGACAACATATAAAATAATTAATCGAACACTTGTACCTCTAAAAATTCTTTTAAGTGCGGCAGAAATGAAGATGGTTAAGAAATCTTAGGAACAAGT